ATTTTTTCAAGGACTGGATATGCAGTCAGCTCACTCTGGATACTGATTACAAAGCTTGAGAGGAAATCATCTGTCAACAAGCTTCCTCAATTTACTGAGGATGAAACCTGAGACGGTGCGATGATCATTTTTTGTTTATTTTCCAAAAAATCATTAAATTACAGACAGACTGAAAGTCCATCCTGCTTAAAAATTTACAGTTCAAGGTGAACCCCACAAAGGTTCGTCTCACATCTGCTAAAAAAAACATTACGATGATCCCTGAGACTTTTGGGAAAATATTCTGCGGACTGACGAAGAAAGCTGAACTTTTTGGAAGGTTTGAGCCCTGTTAGTTAGTGTAAAACTGGCACTGCATAAAAATGAGATCATATTAACAGTCAAACGCGGTGGTGGTAGTGTGATAGTCTGGGTCTGCTATGCTGCTTCAGGATGACCTGCTGTGATTGATGGCACCATGAATGTTGATCTCTACCAGGAAATCCTGAAGGAGAATGTCCGGCCATCAGTTTGTCCCTTCAAGCTCAAGCACTCTTGGGTTACGCAGCAAGTCCACCTCTGAATGGCTTAAAAAATGAATAAAATGAAGGTTTCAGAGTGGCCTAATCAAAGTCTGGAGTTAAATCAGATTTAGATGCTTTGGCATGATTTTAAAAGGGCCGCTCATGGTTGAAAACCCTCCAGTGTGGCTGATGCAATTTTCCAAAGAAGAGCGGGCCACAATTCCTCCCTCTCGCCCAGAGACGAGAAAGACTCATAGTCAGTTAAACCAAATGCTTGATTGCTTTACTCAGGCAATCTTTGTCTTGTCCTGAAATTTCTTTGATGATCTAAAACATATGAGTATGACAAATATGCAAAAAAAAAAAATTTAAAAAATCAATCAACCGTGAAGCAGGTAAATACTTTGTTGCAGCACTGTATTAATATATTTATAATAATACACTTAATATACTTTCTGTCATTAAATTGTTTATTAAATTGATATTTACGTTGGTGCAGTATGCATGGCTGTGGGGAAGATCCTTCCTCAAACTGCAAAACTTATGAAAATACAGCTAAAACACCCCAATTATTTGTTTCTTCCAGATTGTCAGATCTTGGGCCTTATGCTTCACACCTCTGTTTTACAGAGACCGCACATTGTATTGTCAAGTTTTCAATCTGACTCAGTCCAGTAATCACATAAAGTCAGGGACAATAAGCTTTAACAGGACATCATTTATAGATTCAACGCTGTTCCTCAGATAAACATGCAGACACATACAAAAAAGTTTCATATGATTTAATGATATGAACCTATTATCATTACAGCACTCTTTATAAGCATTCGCAAGACTTGTTCTTCAGGCAGCATCCATCTGCCAGGTCTTTGCACAAAAGCACATCGGCTCTTCTGTAACACACACACAGAAATACAAATGTGCATACTGTCACTCATTGAGGTCCAGTGGTGAGTTCTCTGGTTTCATCTCTCAGAAAGGTGAGAAAAGAGTCAGGTGCAGACACTCCTGTGCATGGCGTTACAGTTAAATGTGTCACACAAACTGTTGGAC